CGACGGTGAACGGCATTTACAAGGAGTTTTGCGAAGCCATCGTTTCTGTCTTGCAAAGCGACTGGATCAAGATGCTGAGTCCATCTGAGATGGCCGAACACATTCGCGAATTCATGGCCGTCAGTGACTTTCCCCAAGCTGTAGGAGCCCTCGACGGCTGCCACTTCCCAGTTTCGCCGCCACAAGAACATGCCACTGATTACTATATCTACAATGGGTGGTAAGTTGATTTGGCTACTTTGGTAATTAACGTTCGTGTGTAAGGCATCGCACCTAAATATTCGAGAAATCCGCATGTGAACATGTGAAACATCCGCATATGAACCATTCCTTGTGTGCGAATTATAAGTTACAAGCTACCTATATGACTCACAAATTGGTCTCCAGCAACGTCAGCTTCTCCCTAGAATGTGCAGCCGCGCATGTTTCTTGCAATTACACGGATCCAATGAAGAAATCCTCGCTACAAGATTTCGAGAAAACAACAAGGTCTACTCAGAAAAAAAAGCCTGCTCAGAAAAAAAAACTTACTTGTGCACACAAGTAAGTGTCGTCAAACGAGAAGCTTGTTGCTAATCTCATTTGAGACCTTGGAGCCGCTGAAAAACTTTCTCATAATTAGAAACATCAAATAAGAATTGGCAATAGTACCTTGCAAAAGCCGTACAATGCTGCGAAGCGTTATAGTAACCAAGACGAGCATAAGTTGTGATCGAGATAGTTTACCCGATGTATGTACTGCTATCTAGACGTATGTGTGTATACGACTTCCACCTCTGAATAGTCTAAGCTAACGTGCCCATTTTTTCACCCTTGTGCCTTAGCAATCTGTTCATTATTTGTTCTCACCACATTGATATATTTGTGTCAATATCGCTAGCATTTTTTAAACCAGAGAAGTGTTCTTACCGACTTTGACTTGTGTTAATGACTCTTGTGTTAATTTTTACAGGTACAGCATTATTCTCCTGGCGCTTGTAGACCACAAGTACCGTTTCAGGTTTATAAATGTTGGTGCCTCTGGAAGATGCCATGACTCTCATGTGTATCAAATTTCGAGCCTCTCCGGCATGGTTGAGGGACCACTTTTCAAGGCTCCAGTTGTTACAATAGGAGGCGTTGCCCTGCCACCTCTGGTGCTCTGTGACCAGGCCTTCCCACTTACACCTAACCTCATCAAGTCATTTAGACACAACACCCCACTTAGTGCAGAGCAGAAAAATTTCAATTACCACATCAGCAGAGTGAAACGTGTGGTAGAAAACGCCTTTGGAAGGCTTAAGGCAAGATTTCGCTTCACATCGAAGAGAATGGAATGCGACATTGCAAATGCTCGCCTTGTGATTCGCGCATGCTGCATGCTCAACAACATTTGCGAGCATTTCAGCGATGCTGTTCAGCTTCAATGGCTCCAGGAAGTGAAGCAGTCCGACTCCCAACTGCCCCAACCAGAACGTGGCAGCGATTCACAGATTGGGAATGCAGTCAGTGTGCGTTCTGCACTTGTGGACCACTTCAGCGAGAGGATGCAGACCCAGGCAGCCCGCTCCTAGAATTTTTTTTTTGCGCTGGCATTTGTAAATAAAAAGAGTGACAGTTTTTCTGCCTCATTTTTTATTGATGAAATCAACGAGGGCATTTAAAAGCTTTTCTTGAAGCTGGAGGTGTTTAGATCTTAGCTCTACCTCAGTTTGCTGAGCCCGCTCCAGCTGCTCTCGTAGCATTTTTTGTTCAGCCAGCATAGCTTCTTGGAATTCACGCGCTGCGCTCAGTGGCCGCCGTCGCTTCCTTGCTGCCCGTGCTGCCGTACTTCTTGCAGGGCTCGGAGTCGACTGCGTGGTGGGTGCAGGTGATGGCGTCTGTTCATTTGGTGTTCCTGGCTCTGGCGTGCTGTTAGTTTCAGTAGCCTCGGAACTGACTCCGCTCTCCATTTCGTAGATCAGCTGCAAAGATTTAAGAGAAAACAGCTACAAAGATCATACAAAAAAACAAAAATTGATCTGAGAGGCAGCACACCACAATCGTAACTCTTGATAATTACATTGATGAAATGAACAGCACAATTGAGGATAAACTTTCATGATGCTGGTCAACATTGACCGATGCTGCATATTCAGGCTGAGGTCATACAAATGGTATGTAGGCTAGTTTAGAATATCATTAGCAGAATTATGCGACTTGCAGCGCATGTAACCAAATGATCTGGAAGCATTGGCGCATATGCATTCAATGTGAGTGGATCACGAAACGGTAGAGGTTAGGTAAACACCAAGATATTTTTATCGTGTATCATGTACATATTTGTGTTGTTTATATAGTACAAAAAGGTAGATGCAGTACGTTTGCAGCTAAAACAGACAATTTTACATTCAAAAACGTTAAGCTTCATTAGACAATTACACACCAAACAGAAACAAGTTCTAGATGTCGGTGGAGGACTTGGTGATCATCGTTAGCCTTATAGAACGATAGAGAATGCAGCCACATGCGAAAATGTTCATGTGTGAGTAAATATTGCTCGGTAAGACATTAATGTACATAAGCCATGATACATATTGTATACTTTCAGGTAAATAGAAAACTTCTGCGAGTCCAATTTGTTCAAAACATCAGCATATAAATAATACCGGCGTAAGTGCACTAGTACTTGTATTGATTGCAGGGAAAGTGCACAATGGTGATTTGTTCGTTACACACCTTCTCAACAGTGTCGCTACTGGTGTCGCAGCAGCTTTCCTCCATGAGGGACGGATCATTTATTGGCAGGCAGCCAATAAACCTCTTCAGCTCACTATAGTATGGCCACGTTGGTGGTGAGGAGCCTGTTGTGAGCTCTCGCTCAATTTTTCTAAAAAAAATCACAGTCGCTTTCAGTTATCAAGCAACATAGGAAGGCCCCATTATATTATGACCAGCACAGAAATATATAAATACAACCTATGCAAGTTTTCATCATTTTGTTGCTACCTTCGCTTACAGGTGATAAAATACAGCTGGCACCTAGCAACATGCTTCGTACACGACTCAGGGCACCGATCTTGAAAATTCGGCCTGACCGGTACAATGTTTGGTTACTTCTCAAGCATAAACACTCATGTGACTCGAGGCGGGGTAAAGGCTGGAACCCAGTTTCCGGCGCAGAAAGACACTTGTACCGCTTCTTACGAAGTGAACACGTTTAATTAACATATTTATACGTTTTTTTTTTAAAAAGAGCGCAGAGACGCGCCTTCACATGGCAAGAGTGTGCCAGCAAAGATCAGAGACAGCCGAGCGCACGCCCGACGCGCTTATCACCAAGGGTTTTTGTGGGACGCGGACCACGCATGGTAGGGACACCATTGAGTATCTGTTGCCGCGCACTCGCAGGTACCGTGGAGTCCCGCGTTCCTCGATATGCGAGGTGCCCATGCATGTCGGGTTTTACAGGCCCGATCTTAACACACACTAAACAAGCAAGCAGGACGCGCGCGACAACGCGTAGCGTGAGTGGCCGTCTTACCTGAATGTCTGTGTCAAGTTGTCCATTTCGCTGTGAACTTGCGCCCGTGTACGGGGAATACCGGCGTCGGTGAGGCTCTCGGCAATCGCCTGGTACACTCCACCGTTGTGCTTTTGCCCTCGCAAGGCGTCCAAATGGTCCTCCCATAGCTTTATCAGCGCCCAGGTCTCCTTTTCAGTCCACTGGACACACGGTTTTTTCTTCACCGACTGAGCCGACTCCATTGTACAAAATACTACGTCCCCGACACAGCAACTGCCACTGCCAACCCTAACATGATCGCACTAGTGACGTAATGCAGGTGTTCGAGAGTATGGACAGACTATAGGTCTTCACTTTTCAACAAATCGCACTGCTGTTGAAAATGAAAACATTTTCTCAGCGCAAAAAAAATACTGACAGGGCACCGCAGTGTTGCGACACGTTTTCTTCTATTGATAAATTAGGTACACTGTATGCGAGAGTACTCCCTTCCTGCCAGAAAAGTAGATGCGGGATCTGCTTTTGCGAAAAGGATCTTTGCCGGAGAAGAGTTACTCCTTTGTCGTGTGTCACTGCGCCCGAACGCCTTTCCGAAAGATGTCCCCTTGTCCAAAGGACTTCAGGGTGCCCGTGTGTCAGGGGCATAAAAGTACCTGCAGTACGCAAATAAATGCTTTGCAAATAGAATGGCTCAGTCGTGCATTTCTTTTTAGACAGCAATTTTTTAGTGGCCGATACTGCATTGAGCATCGTCGTTTCGTTGGCCCTTGCCGTAGGCGCCTGTTTCAGCGCACTGAACCATGCGACACTCTTGTTTTGCCAATGCGGCTTGATTACTTTCAGAACTTTGCCACTGAAACACAAAACAAGAAGAAAACGGAATAAATAATTATACAAAAAACATAAATGTAACAAGAAATGAAACAAGTGCAAAAAAGAAGCTAAAAACAAAGGCTAGCCCATAACTCTACGTACTTACATACCTCTTTGAAGCTCTTTACTTCAATGTATCGCAATTGCTAGTAAGTTTTCACTGCATATTCTACGAAATGTTTTGCTTTAGCCTAAAAAAGTGTTTTTTTGAAGGGTCGGCCTCTTTCTGAAGAAGCTCTGTGTTCCGCTGAATGTTTTACTCCGGATGGCAAGGCATGCACTACGTTTGCGCAGAGTTGTGCGCTACGAAACTCACTAGTGGATGCCGCTTTGACATGACATGTAGCCCAGTAGAAGTCCTCTCCACCGCAGGAAAACAAAACGTTGGAACTGAAACTAGCTGCAAAGGTAGATACAGAAACATAGGATAAAAATAAGGTGGTGAAACAAGCTCAGGCTCAGCTAGTAAGCGTTAACGTTGGCTGAAAGGGAAAATATTAGGTAAGATAGTTTTCTGCTTAGCAGGAAAATATTGCTAATAGCTTGTAGTGCGCAAAATTTCTCTAAACTTTTATTTGAAATGTCTTCGAAAATTGCATGCTACTATAAGTGATAATCAAACTATCGTTTTCCCTCCGTACAGATCTGTCAAACGACAAATTCATTAATGAAAAATGCTTCTTACAACGAGTCAACAGAAGAAAATCATGCAACACCTGTTTAACAATACATATATGTTGCCTGCAGTGCTTTTATAAGAACCTGCATGTGCCATCATCACCAACAGCCAGGAAAAGAAACTGAAATAAAGAAAACACTTGTTTTTATAACGGCGTCCTTCTGATTAAAATACGTGAATCAGGCAAACCGTACTTGGAGCAGTTTTGGCAAACCAATGCTGCGAAATCGTTTTCTCTCCCCTCAGGTGGCGCCACCAACTCAGCTCCTTATACGTAAGTAACTTGTTGACATTACAAGGACAAAAGCACTCGGTGAGCCTATTTGCATACAATCACAGCCTGAACACTCCAGTTCAAAACACTCAATCGTAGTACACGCGACCATGCACGATATTGCCATGCTCTTCCCGTACGTGCTTTGCCAGGACAAGTGCACGCTTCGCGGCAACAGCAAACAATGATGTATGACGTCATTCAGATCACTTTAGTAATGATTACAGTTAGAAACCCTTGCTTATATCTGTATTGGCCTCGAGAACATACCGTGGTACCACCTACGTGATGACGTCACTCATAGAATGCGGGCGTGTGTTGTCTGCTAGAACACCGCATTTCCAGTGCTTTTGCCATGTGTGTGGAATTTTATGTAGCGTTGAGCTACAAGCGATGCCTTTCTGAGCGAGAAACAGCGCCTAGACGGGACGAAAGGATAGACGAGGCACACAGACATAGCGCCGAGTCAGTTTTGTACCGAAAGAGGCGGAAATTGTCGTCGTGTTTAAGAAAAACAGAAATGGCCGTTGTGGTTACGGAACACTTCGGCATCATCCCCACCGAAGCTATTAATACGCACGTGTGTGTAGTCGACACAGCCTGTAACACCAGGGAACTCAGCCACTTCATAGAAGTCCCGCATAACTATAGTAAGTGCTGCACGCTGCGGAAAGCGCACCAGCATTGCGTACAGGTGCTTTGCGAAGAGTAGCGTACGTACTTTTCCTACTGCACGGCAAACTGTCGACAACGGAATGCGGATGAGATTCCCGGTGACTGTTTGGAACCCGAGAGCCATCAGTAGCTGTAACACTGGAGGCAGAGGCTGTCCTCGGTTGTCCCCACTTTCACGGAGCGGAAACATACACGGCAGCTGCCGCACGGCGTTCCTCGTGAATCTGTATCGAGCGTGGAATTGCTCCACGTCGTACAGCTCCATCGGATTTCCTCGATCAAGCAAAGCGGGCGGGTCCAAGAATCTTCGGCAGGCAGCGCGCCTCAGAAAATGCTCCAATGGTCTGTCCAAGGGATGGACAGACCCACACCTTACGGAGCGGGTCTGTCCATCCCTTGAATGTATGTATCTAGAAGTACGTAGCCACCGGTGGCACATGCCAGCTCCAGAGCGGGTATGAGCCACAGAGGATGCGAGATTGGAGATGGTGGTACTTGGAGTGTTGACTAGATGGACACACGAATGGACGTACAGACAGACTAGCAGATGGACAGATAAACAGATAGACGCACGGACGTACGGACGGATGGACGCACAAACAGACAGATAGATTTTTCATTTCATTTATTTATAAAAACTGCGATCCTTCAGTTGAATTTTCATAGCAGGGTGGGAAAAATGTTCGAGAATCGGTATATACACAGAAATAGTGAAAACACAATAAATAATACGATGTGAGTGTACAAGGCGATGGTTCAGAAACACTTATTTCAACAAATTTTTCGAGTAACATGACACATAGTAACGTAACACAATACGGGTTTTAGAATAACACAATAATTACAATAAAACAAATGATACAATTCATTGTGTAGCGCAACTGAGGCAGATGCCCAAGGTCCTAGAATCTTCTGCACACAAATTGGTCTGGAGTCAAGTTGATTCAAAACCATCCGGAGCTGGCATCGCTGTGTGTCGTAGCAAGCGCAGCTGCACAGGACGTGTTCAATGGTCTCTTCAGCTCCGCAGTAGTCACATGTAGACGTGTCTGCCATACCAATGCGAATGGAGTACACCTTTGTGATTGCAACACCCAACCAAAGGCGGCATGACAGTGTCGCATCGGAGCGGGAAAGTTGTGACGGTAGCTTTATCTTGAGCGAAGGATCCAGTTCATATAATAAACACCTTTGGAAGCTGGCAGACGACCAGAACGTGCGTGTAATATCTCGAGCCAGCAGGTAAAGTTGTCTTGCTGCATCGTTCCTTGAAAGAAGTATCGGGACCAAACGGGTTCCTTCATTGGCTGAGTGGGCTGCATCATCAGCTAATTGATTTCCGGTAATACCGATTTGTCCAGGCAGCAAATAATATATACTATCATGCCCTCGTGCTGAATCGTCATGATGGCAATGTCTTATTTCATGTACCAATTGTTCATGATTCCTCCTACGCATGGCAGACTGCAAACTCTGAAGCGCTGGCTTAAAATCACAGAATATAACCCATTTTCTTGGACTCTCTTGAACGAGATATTGTAGAGCAGCCCTTATAGCAGCAAGCTCTCATGCCGTAGATGTAGTCATATGCGACAACCTAAATTTGATTGTCATTGCTGCAGCCGGTATTACAGCGGCACCTGATGAGCTGCTGGACGAGACGGACCCATCAGTATATATCTTCGTTCGGTCCACGTACAACTCATGTGATAACAGCAGTGTTGCTTGCATCAATGCTACGCTGGAGTGATTGCTTTTTTTATACCCGGAATTTCTAGACTTACTTGCGGCTGGTCGCGGCACAACAAAGAAATTGACATTCTCGTAGCTGGCATATATTCTGATGGAATGCTGTTAAGGTGCTTGGCTATGACATCTGAAAACGTAGCATGTGTCCTCCAGAGAGTAGAAGGGCCAAGTGGTGGTCGGGGACACGGCTAGAATGTCGAATGTGTGCTCTGAGGCAATCCACAACTTTATATGTCCTGACCGGATGGTCTTTGGCAATTACGATTGTGGCATAAGTAGAACCGCATCGGGGCAGTCCTAGGCAGATACGCAGCGCCTGACCCTGCAAACTTTCTAATGAATGAGTATTGGATTTGCAAGTGTTAGTCAGTACCGACAAGCTGTAGCGCAATAGACCCAGAAATAGGGCCCTGTACAGCTGTAGCAAGGAGGCCACAGAAGTTCCCCATGCTTTCCCGCACATGAATTTCATTATATGCACAATAGATAGCAGTCTCTTCTTCAAGTACACAAAATTCGGGCTCCTCGAAAGACTTCTGTTGATTATTATGCCCAAAAAACGATGCGTCCGTGCATATTTGACACTCTGCCCATTCATGTAAACAGGGTATAGCGTCATTGGTTTACGTGTAAACGCCATCAGCGCGCACTTCACAGTTGATATAGTTAGGCCTTGTTTCTGAAGGTAGGCTGTTGAGAAGGTTGCTGCCCGCTGTATGCGTGAACGAACCTGAGGGTGCGTAACTGCAGCACTGCAGAGGCAAATATCATCGGCGTATATGGATAGGCACAGCGACTTTGGCAGAACCTTCACCAGACCAATGAGGGCAACATTGAACAATGTGGGGCTTAAAGCACCTCCCTGAGGTATTCCACAGTAGGTGTAATGTTCAGAAGTTTTACCTTCATCTGTTTGCACAAAGAAACCCCTGGCAGTTTTATAATTTTTTATCCATTAAAACATTCGTCCACCCATGTCCAATGCTGCGAGAGAAGTGATGATGGCATCGTGAGCTATATTATCATATGCACCCTTCACGTCAAGAAAGAATGCCACTGATATACGCTTGCGAATTTTTTCTTGCTGAACAAATGTCGATAAGTCAAGGACACAGTTGATGGAGGAGCGGTCCCGTCGAAATCCTGCCATGCTGTAAGGGTATTTGGTGTATCGTTCAAAGTACCACTCGAGACGAAATAAAACCATTCTTTCCACCACTTTTCCGAGGCAGCTTGCGAGGGCAATAGGGCGATACGCTGTCAAGTTCAATGGTGATTGTCCCTCTTTCAGATGTTGTAGTAATCGACCTATTTTCCACTCTCGGGGAACACTGCCGCTGAGCCAGAAGTTGTTCAAGCATTCTAGAAGTTCTCTGCTGTCTTTTTGTCCAAGGTGTCGCAATGCACTATAAGTAATACAATCAGGACCTGGCGATGACGTGCGCTTAGAAGCGACTAACACACGTTCCAGTTCTTCCATGGTGAATGGAATGTCGATTTCTGGTAATCACTTCTCAAGAACGATCACGGCGTCAATGCTCTCGTTCATAATATTCCCGGACTCTCGGGGAAAGGCCTTCAGCCGCCCCGAGTTCTGTTTTTCCATGATGGAGTGCGAAACATTTAAAAGGGTGTCGTTGTTACGGAGAGGAGCGAAGACCACGAACTGTTCTCCAGATATATGACAGCGGTTTATGAGGGTCTAAAGATTCGCAGAATTTTTTCCAGCGTTCTCGCTCCAGCTTGTAAATGTGTCGCTGAATCTTTTTCTGGAGCCGTCTTGCTTCCCTTAGGTCGTAAATAGATCTTGTGCGTCTGTATCGTCGTTATTCACGCCTTCGTATAGCTCGTAATTTTTCCAGTTCGATGTCGAACTGTGTTATTTTAGACGAAAATGGTAATTCACATTCAGACGCTTGCATAACTTCCGCCATGGTATTTTCTAGGCTGCAGGCAAGGCCTTCTTGGCAAGCATCCTCAACACGCGATGTAAACATCGACCAGTCAGTGCCAATTACAACAACGGAAGAGAATTTTTATGATACCATTGATCTTCATGTAGGTGGGTATGTGATCACCCCCATGAGTTTCAATATCTCAAAACCATTTAACTTTGTGACAGAAGCACCGTGAAACCAATGTCAGGTCAAGGCCACTGCCCAACGTGAGACCCCGCCGATATGTTGGGGTACCATCGTTCATGATGGAAAGGTCGTAGTCGGAAGCAAATGTAATGATGTTAAGGCCCCATGCATTCATCCTAGTGCTCCCTCAGAGCATGTGATGGGCGTTGAAGTCACCGGTGATCATCCAAACCCAACGGTTTAGATCATAAGTTATGCATATTTCAAGGTTCTTGTAT